TGCCTAAACCCTATAAATCCCAAACCCTGAGCCATAAACCCTAAACACTGAACCAGACCTTGGATCGGCTAACCGATCCGAAATGCTGGAGACCAGAAGAGGACCGACAACCAATGGTCATTCCAATGTAGAGGCCTGAACAATTACTAATGTCACTAATGTCATTCCTTAGGGTTTCCCACTATGCTTATACCATAATGTACGGCAGAAACCTAGTCTAGTTATTAAGGGCCCCTCTATGGAACCAGTAACTCTGTCTGTTACCTCTCATCACGGAGACCATTCAAGGAACTGTGCAGCATTCACCTTAAACTCTCGACCCCATCAAATCGAGAGGATTGGGATACCGTACTGGGACTGGTCGCGGCTGGAGATCAATGGCGAGGTCATGCCGCTCTCCTGTATGCAGAAGTCCGGCTTGGTTTACCCTCTGACTGACGGACTGAACCCTAATTCGCTAATCCCTACTTCTGAAACCCCATACTGCCAGACTTTAGCCTTATCTCTCTAACCCAAACATCCTTAAACATCCTCATCCCTAGACCCTGGGGGCCCTAAACCCTAAACCCTAAACCCTAAACCCTAAACCCTAAACCCTAAACCCTAAAAGGGACCCTGGGCCTTCGGCGGAGTCCTGGGATCTTTGCCCAGTTTAAAATGTCGGGGTCTGCGAAGCAGAGGCCCAAAATCATCCGGGACAATTTCAGCGAGATGCCTCCTGGCCTCGTGAATCCCTCTGAGGCACACAGGGTCGGGCACTCCATGCGGACGATGTCTTTTAAGGGCCTAGTGTTGTAGTGTGTGTATGTGTTTTTTTTGGGGGGGGGAGGGGGTTTCCGTAAATATTCGTATAATATACTGCCAGCTTCAAGGCTTAAACCCCGGCCAGCCTTGCGGCCGTCTCCTTCTAACGTCCTACAAAGCTCGCGAGCCTGAAGCTATGTACTCTAAGCCGGAAAAGCCTTACGCCCCAAAAACCCAAACCTGAAACTCGAAACCCCAGACCTCCCAAACATCCCCAAACCTCCCCTAAACCCTAAATCCTAAACCCTAAACCCTGAAACCGTAAGCGCCCCAAGCTTGCAACCCAGCACAGGCCGGCCGGCTGGGCCGGGAGGGCTTTTCCTCCCTCAGCTCGGAAGAGCGGCTCAGGACGTAGTGTGGGGGGGTTCCTTCTTCAGTTCTAGGGTTTAGGGTTTAGGGTTTAGGGTATAGTATAATATACCCCCAAACCCTATTCCAACTATTAGGGCCCCTATATCAGGGGTCATTGCTGGGATGACCTTCTTTTTGCTGTTGCGGTTCTTGCTCTACATCAGGCTGTAGGGCTGTGCTCTGAATCTGAGTTGGGATCATACCCTAACGCTCCAGGTACCTACTATATAGGGCCCTAGGGGCTCTAGTACCCTAGAAAGTAGGTACCTGGGGGGTGAGGGATAGCTCATGTCGCTTTCTTCATCTCTTTTGCGGCTTTCGCGCGTAGAGTGGCTAGTGTGGAGTGTTATGAGCTAAAGAGTGCTGCTTCTTCTCTTTTGCGGCGAGGTCTGCGGCCATCCAGCAGCCTGCATAAAACATTCCCTGTATTTTTCGAAGTATGTCCATCAAGTGCCCCAAAAAAACTCGTAAGCCCTAAGCACCTAAACCCTAAACCCCTAAACACCTAAACACCTAAACCCCTAAACACCTAAACCCCTAAATACCTAAACCCTAAACCCTAAAACACCTAAAGCTCCTAAACCCCTAAACCCTAAACCCTAAAGCCCCTAAAACCCCTACAGCTCCTGAAGCTTCAATCCTGAACAACTCTAAACCCTAAACCCTAAACCCATAATCCCCAAGCCAGGCAGCAGCTGACCTCCATGCAGGCTGTGGACCTGGGAGCATAGCCGAATCAGGGGGCTTCCGGGTTTTTAGTTTAGGCTTTAGGGTTTAGGGTTTTAGGGGTTTAGGAGCTTTAGGGGTTTTAGGGTTTAGGGTTTGTCTTTAAGGATATAAGGCTTTTCGAGCTGAGGGATTACGGCTAGGGTTTAGGATTTCGGCTAGAGCCTAATATTCTAGATTTAGGGCCATCAGTCCATTAAACCCCTGCAGCTTGCCCCTGGCACTGACTGAAACCCCCCAAACCCTAAACCCCAAACCCCCCCAGAGCTAAACCCTGAAACCCTAAACCCTAAACCCTAAACCCTAAACCCTAAACCCCAAACCCTAAACCCTAAACCCTAAACCCTAAACCCTGAAACCCTAAACCCTTGACCTGGAGGTCGCCCGGGGAGCAGAGAGGTGCCTCACGGAGAACGAGCACTGGCTGCACGCCTCCACACGGGGGCGAGGCCTCGAGGGTTCTGGGCAAGTCCAGGCTTCAGGACGGGATGGGTTTAGGGTTTAGGGTTTAGGGTTTAGGGTTTAGGGTTTAGGGTTTAGGGTTTAGGGTTTAGGGTTGGGGGTTTAGGGTTTAGGGATGGGATGGGTTTGATGGCTTGAGCACGAGGATTCCGGTGCTTTCTGGACGTGTACCTTGTGCTTGCGATAGCCGTTGGGGCATGTCTAAAGCGAAGCTTTTTTCCACTGTCAGTCGAGTTATGTGGTAAGCTTCAGTGTGAGCTACAGTTGCTTTTGCATGCCCGAAGAAAATAGGAATATACCATGCCAAGGACGAGTCACATGCCTCGCTTCAGCTGGATCCGTTTCCATTAGGCTCCTGTCCAAGGGACAGTCTTGCGTGCCATTTGAGCACTGCCCGTCAAGCTTTTCATTAGAAGCCTGAGTACTTGTTCCTCCGGATTCCCTATTTTCTTTATTGCTTAATATACCCCTAAGCCTTATTCTATCTATTATGGCCCCTGCATTGGTCGGTCCAGGATTTTCCGTGGAGGATCCGCACAACAGTGTCCACGTAGCATCTGGGCCATCTCTTGCGAGAAGCATGTGTGTTCATGACTGGTTGGGGTTGTTCTTAGATGCAGGCCTTCAAGAGGTACGTCTGTGACGATGTATGAACCAGGATGCCTCAACCATGTGCTGTTTTGGCGGAAGATTGCACAGCTAAGGCATGTGGGTTTCCCATGACTACTGTTCCCTATGCAGCATTCCATCCCATTTTCTTCCTGCACCACTCGAATTGCGACCGCATCTACGAGAAGCACGTGCCTGGGCGCAAGGACGCCTAGCCTAGCCTTGCCTTGCTTTGCGTTTCATAGCTAATATATATATATATATATACACACACACACACATAATATATGTATATACACACATGTGCGTAGAGTATATGTATGTCGAATGTGTGTGCATATATATATATATATATGTATGTACAGCTGTATGCACATCATGTGTAGAGATGCGCTCTCTCGCGCCTCTCCGTAGCCGTATATGTATCTATATCTGTACCTGTATATGTGCACGTGTATGTATGTCTCTGCTATGTCTATGTGTGCGTATGTATGTATGTATGTATGTATGTATGCATGCATGCATGCATGCATGCATGCCTGCATGTATGTATGTATGTATGTATGTATGTATGTATGTATGTATGTATGTGTGTATGTCTGTATGTATGTAGGCACATATTCTCATAGGCATGCTTGCAAAGTACATACGCGCAGGCCTCTGCGGAACTTCTCCGCTCGGGATCCCAGGTTCCCAAGCTCAGCCCCGAAGGTATTTCAATCATAAGCCGTAGTTTGAGCTCCATTTCACTAAAGACTTGAAGTTTAGGGTACACCTCCATCCTGTCAGCTCTTACATAGGTGCAGCTCGAGACGCCTGAAGAATGCGTGGCCTGGCAGCAAGGGGTTCGCGGGGTCAAAGCGCTTTCGCACTTTAGAGCGCTTTCGATTTGGGATTAAATAGGCCTTGCAGCTCCTGCGCACCTTCAGCTCCGATTGCTCCTTTTTGAACCCTCGTACCTCGCACCAAACCTTCCACGCCGTTACAACTTAACAGCACCCCGAACTCCTTCAACCAACCCATGCCCCAAAACCACGAGCTCTTCAACGGCCCTACTCCTTCACACCCTAAGCCCGAGAACCCCAAAACTCCACACCCCGAAGCCCCACTTCCACACAGTCCGTCAGCCTTAAAAATCGCCTCAAACCCACAACTTTGCATCCCGGAAGCCTGGGCCTCAGGCCGCGGAATTCGCCCTCCGGCAGCAAGGCTTGGCGCAGCAGGGAGAGGCTCGGTCCTAGGGAAAGAAGAGTTCTTTAGGGTTTAGGGTTTAGGGTTTAGGGGTTTCTTGGATTGTATTGTAGGAGTTTAGGGCTCGGGGGTTTTGGGCTTCGAACTTGTTAGGCATGTCTTTGTGTAATTATGTGGGTTCGAGGTTTTAGGCTTTTGAGGCTGAGGGTTTTGGGTTTAGGGTTGTAGGGGGTTCATCCTCAGGGTTTGTCTCAAGCGTGCTGGCTTGCGGCTGCAAGCGCCGATGCGCTCAACGAATCAGGCACGGCAGGCAGGGGCACAAGAGGTCTCAGAAGCGGGCAAGTCGAGTATCCTACGATGCCATTCTGCACACCTACACAAGATGGCACAGCACACCCAGATGCGTGGTTAATATGGGGGCCTTAAGAATTATAACAGGCTTTCGGTGGTATATTATACTATAATTATGTTACGGAACCCCCAAAATCCTATTCTAATTATGAAGGCTCCTACCGTACTGGTTGAAGACAACGCTGTCTGTGACTGCATGGTCCTGTGTACAAGGGCCTCATGTTTGAAGGCTGTGGTGGATGCATATTTTAGCAATCATCTACCCGAGCCTTCGACCCAAACAAAACGAGAAAACAAGCGAACCAGTAATTCAGCATCATACTACGAATCCCTGATCGCTGAAGCCCCGCAACCACATGTTGCAGGTGAGAATTCCATCCCAAGTCCTGATCACGAAGCCCGAAGCCCCAACATCATGATTCCGAACCCTCCTCAAAAAGCAAAGCCCCAAAGCCCTAGGCCCTACCTTAGATATCAACCTCAAAACCCCTGAAACTAAAAACTCTAAACATTGTTTTCGTCCCTATGAACTACCAAGCACCCTAAACCCTTAACCCTAAACCCTCAACCCCTACTTGGAGGATCATGGGACTTAGCAAGTAAGGTCATAAGTCCCTTAGTTGGGGTTATAAGTATAGTTACCCTAATTATAACCCTACTTGCTAAGTCCCATGATCCTTTAAGTAACCCTATACCCTAAACCCCCAACCCTAAACCCTAAACCCTAAACCCCTAACCCTATACCCCGAAGCCCGTCGGAGGTGAATCGCTTCCTTCAGCCCCTGGCACCCTTCATGCATCCGTTCGATCCGGAGAGGCACCAAGGGCTTTCCATGTGTGTACCGTAGTCGAAAAAAGTTGGGCAGGAGGCTGAGGGTTGAGGGCTTCAGGTTTAGGGCTTTAGGGTTTTTTTTGCGGGTTTAGGTCTTTGGGGCTTTTGGGACTTAGGGTTGTTGGGTTTAGTATTTAGGGATTTAGGGCTTAGGGGTTTTTAGGGTTTTTGGTTTGGGGTTCCTACACTTCGTGGTCTTATTGAGGATCTACGCAGCGGGGGTTAACGGGTTAAGGCGCGGTGGTGGGTTCAGTGCGGGTTCGGGTTTAGGATCGAATCCCAAATTCATTCCCAAACAAGTCTCTGAACCTTAAATAAGCCCTTACCCCTAGACCCTGGATTTTCCAACATATCTCCAGGCTCCGCATCCCTATAAACAAGATGCACACCCAGGCAGATGGTGCCCTCGGACACCTTCGATACCAAAGCCCTGGGTTCTTCGACTCAGACTGGATGTTCCGTCGTTGTTGTATTTTCAAGAGCTTCTAGATTTTAGAGTTCAGGATTTAGGGTATGGGGTCCTATAACACCTAAACCCTAAACGCTAAACCCTAAACCCTAAACCCTAAACCCTAAACCCTAAACCCTAACCCTAAACCCTAAACCGGTTTTAGGGCTCTGCTGGTAGGGGTTTCGGACCTGGGGCTTGGCGACAGGGGTGCTCAAGGTTCTCAGTTCTCTGGTCTTTTTTGACGACCTTCCCCTAAAGGTCGAAAGGACCCAATAATAAGGTACTTTGGTTGCGGATAGTAGTTTTTTAGGTTAATATCTGGGAGAGTATATGATTATTAGGTACTTGGACCCTTAGGGTTCTGTTCTGGGGCTTTCCGTGGCTCTTTGAAATGCTGCAGCCTTGGAGCTCAGAGTCCGGACTCAGGCAGAAGTGCGGTTGTTCTTATGGTAGTTGTCGTCGTCCGAAAGTAGACACGACCACTAGGACGACGAGGACGAGGAGAAGCACGAGAGGAAAGGGAGGAGGAAGAGGACGACGACGTCGGCCACGCACGCGACGAGTTTTATGATGCTTGTGTTCGCATTCCTGTGACTGCTGGTGCTGTAGTGTTCCAATTTTTCTGGAACTGCCGTTGCTGCTGCTAACGGTGCATCGGACCATACTGCTAATGAGCTGCTGATGAAGACGGTGATGAGGGGCACTGACTTCCAGACATGCTTCTTCGACTTCTCGTGTGACACGTGCTACTACTACTATCATTATGGTCTGGCTTCACAGCTGCATCCTTGTTCGTTTGCTCACCCGGCTTTTTTTCTGCATGCCATTCGTTGTCAGTCCTGGTATGCTTTGTTTGCTGCTTCCTTTGTTCACGTGCCGCTTTTGCTCTTGCGTTGCTGTTGCTGCTCTTGTCCCTTATTCCTTGGAGCCGGACCTTCGGTACTACTTCGAATCCCGGGTCCCTGTAGCCCTAAACCCTTAACTGCGTGAGGCTATGAGTACGATGAGCTACCACCCGAACCGCCGCAGCGCATGACGGAGGAGCTCGTTTAGTTGGACATCAAGCCGACTTGCGCTCATCCTCATAGCCAACAGATGCACATCGACACCATGAAAGGAACGAAGAAAAACGAACAGTCGGTGTGAGTTGGGTCCTGTCTTGGCCTTGTAAGGAGCGCTGGCCAAGACAAGTTGTGATCCCGCCTCACTGCCAAAGTTACGAAAGCCCAAACCCTAAATCGTAGCATGATGGAGTCTGATGGAGTGCTACTTCTCAGAGGCCACCCTCAAGCCACGTCAGCAGCAAAAATGCAATGAGAAAACCGAACCCTCCCATTTCTCTATACCGTGACGGGGGGGTAGGGTATATCCTCTAAGCCGTAATACTCTCCCTACTCCCTCAACACTGGACACTCATGAGCTTCTTGAAGGCAGCTTTGTCGTCGAAAAGTAAGGTCAGCTCAGAGCTTAGGGTTGAGGGTTCATTGACAATTTGGGGTTTAAAGATTTGGGGCTTACTGTTTACTGGTTCATGGTTCTAAACCCTAAACCCTAAACCCTAAACCCTAAACCCTAAACCCTAAACCTCTTTGTTGAGGATTAGGGCTTCCTTTTTTGAGGCTGCTCTGCGGCCAACCCCGTATTGCTGGTAGCATCGCTGTTCTTCGCTGCTTCTGCGAAAACTAGCATGTAGACTGCAGGCATTTAGGGGTTTAGGGGCTACGGTTGGAGTTCAGGGGTATGATACCCGTTGAATGTTTCGAGATGCGACTGGCATTTGCTGAGTCTTTGTTTGCGGAACCTCGGAAGCCTGCGAGGAGCCCATCTACGTGGCGTTTCGAGACATCCAGGCCACATTGGGATGCATCCGGGGTATGCCAAGCACAGCTACAGGACGGACCGTGACGGGATGAAAAGCTCATGCAGTTCAGGATTTCAAGCCTTAAGCTCGCAGCCCGAAGCCACTGACTTTAGACCTTGTGCCACAGACCCGAAGCCCTAACCCCGAAGCCTCAAAATCGACCCTGAGAGACAAAAAATGTGGAGCCACCAATTCGAAGGTTGGTCGTTAGTATAAGGACCCCCTCCAATGCGGGGCACCCTGATTCTACGAACCACCCAGTTGCTTCGTAGCTGAAAGGTTCTGCAGCTGGATCGGAAGAGCGGTGCTCTCAGTCGACCTATGCTCTAACTAAGTGGTTTTGGGTTTTCTTTCGTCTTGAAGTGTCAGTGTTGCGGTTTTGGGAGAGGCTTTACCGTTCACGGGTTTAGGGAGTACCTGTTTCTGTTGTGGACTTCAAATCTCATGCTTTCTGTGTCGCGGTTTCTGGTTTCGGTTTGTCGGTTTGTTGGGGCTTCTGGGCCTTCACTCTGAACGTCCCCACGAACCTTCCCGAAGCCCGTAGACCACTGGTGTGTTCAGGGCAATCACGTCTGGATACTTACTCTGACTGGCGGGTCAGCCTCCGTCAAAAGCCACAGAAAGATGACGAACTTACTATATATAGCATACTTATAGCATACACACACACATATATATATATATATAAATATGCACACATGTACGTATGTATGTATGTATGTATGTATGTATGTATGCCTGCATGTATGTATACCATGTCTGTTTTTATTTTCTGCCATACTATGACACAACATACTTATTGCCAGGAGCCTACTCCAACATCCCTGCAGTAGGGCAGAGTCGTGAACCCCTTTTGAGCGGCCCTAAACCCTAAACCCTAAACCCTAAACCCTAAACCCTAAACCCTAAACCCTAAACCTCAAACACTGCAGCTTAAACCCTCGACCTTCCATCCCAAAAGCCTTTTAGGGTTTAGGGTTTAGGGTAAAGCCCTGAAAGACTTAACCACCTAAAGCCCCAAAAGGCCTAGAGCCCTAAACTCGAGTAGCTCTATAGACCCCACCTTTGAGTTCAGGCTCTCGGCTAGAAGTTTGCAGTTTAGGGGCGTATTCCTCGGTAAGGGACCTTTATCTAGGACATGTTCAGGGGTAGTTACCGATATAGGAGCCTTATAGAAGGTCTATATACCTTATAGAATCCTTATAGAAGCCCTATATACCCTAAACCCCCCACCTGTAGTTTCCTTTAACTTTAGTGAAGGATGTCGGGAGCTGCACAGGCTATGCGCTCCACATCTTCTTGGCCGCCAAGGGAGCAGCGTGGGTGGCTCCAGTACGACTCAAGGACACGTTGCTTTGGAGTTTGGGAGTTCAGGGTTTTATCTTCCAGGGTTTAGGCTTTTTGCCGGGTCTAGGGCCTTAGACATCATAGTTTGGCGCTCGACGTTGTGCGGTGCGGGACTCAATTTCGATGTTGTGTTCAGGCTGGTCTTGGGGGTCGTTGGTCCTTAAAATGTGGTTGAGGTGGCTGCGCTGATGTGGGGGTCCGAAGAATCAGTAATTCCAGACATTCCTTCCGGTTCCCTTCGGAGTTGAATTGTCGTGTTCCTTAGCTTCTTGCGAGCTTCAAGGCGGGATTTGTTCATGCCTGGCACGATGCAAAGATTCAAAGGCAGAGCTGGACATCGGGGTTGGGGCAGCTTCAGGGATTCAGCAACGAGGCCCCTAACTCCCCTACTGACCCTAATCCCGGTCCAAACGCTGATGCCATGGAAGCCCTAAAGCCCCCAGCGTCAAAAGCCTGAACCTCGAACCTCCCGACCGCCGTGCAGGAGTACAGCGCCAAGCCCGGCTACGCGGGAGCCGGGGCGATCTTTGGCGGAAGGGCTCAGGAGTGACGCTGGTCTGGATTTGGGTCATAAGGGTCTAAACTTGATAAATACAATTCTTCAAATAGGGTTCTTTATGTAACTGTATATTATATGCAATGTAATGATAACCCACCCGAAATCCCTATTCAGGCCTTGTCTAATGCTTGAGGCCTTCTGTTAGGTTTCATAGGTATTTCGACCTTGTTTTGGGCCTCAGAGTTCAGGGTACATTCTGACAGAAGATGTAGTACCCGCAGATGCTACCATTATTCAGTATTTGTTGGGAATCGGTACCCTGAAAGCGTAGACCCTAAAACCCCAAATCAAAAGCCCCTGAAACCTCTACGTTGTCAAATCCCAAGCTGACCTTTTTGGGGAGGGGATCAGGGCTTTGGGGTTCAGGGTGTGATTGGTTTGGGGTTGAGGCCTGTGCCTACAATCTTTGGCTCTGCGGCCGAACTTCCTAAACCTAAACTTTGGCCACTACCTATAGTCTCCATTGTAGTTCCTCTTTTTTGGTTTAACCAATTATATATTAAGGGTTTTATAAGGTATCCCCCAAAAGGA